CTTGGTGTGATCCTTGGGATGTCCTGTGCAGGGTCAGGACTTGTAGATAATTCCCATGAGTCATTCTCATTTAACTCCAAAGAAGATCTGTGTTTGCATTGATTTCAAGAGTGGGGCTGTTTTGGGAATATGGGAATGTTTTTTTAATTCTGATTTATATCCTTGCATTGTTTTTCTTTAAACTCAAGCCACTACCACTATCCAGCAACTGATTTGGCTTGACTGGGTTCTACTCCTATCACATGCTTTACATCAAGCTATGTTCACCTTCTTTGTTTAGGTATTGCAGGTTATAGCTATGGTGTCTTCTGCATCCTTCTGAAGATTACAAATCTGTCTTCTGACTTTTAACATTAGTGTTCATTTTAACACTAGTTTAACATTAGTGTTGATTTTACTGCAAGAGCAGAAATGCACTTGGAAACTGCCCAACAAAGCTTTTGTTAAGAATTTCCAGTATCAAAAAAAAAAAAAAAAAAAGAGAAGACAAAAGCTGCCTAACAGACTTACTAGTTTTTGAATAATAAAAATGAACTGGCAAAATTGGATTTGGAATTTCAGCTTTTATAAAGGTATTATGACAGGTGAATTAAAGCTATATTTTATTTAGGATTTTCTCATGCAGCTCTGAGAAATTTTCCGGCCGTGCTTGTCAGGCACCATTGTAAACTGTCTTAAGCCTAGCAGTTGCATATTAGATACCTGCTTCTGCTGCCAAGTGACACTGCTATCCCTGTACCTCATGGCCACTTTTCTCCCTGGGTAGCAATGCTGCCAAAGGCAGAGCAGTGTGCTGAACAACAACATCAACTGGTCAAATAACAGCAACAGCACTTAGAATCTGAAAACCCCAATATTGCCCTTGCTGCTGATCAGAACTTCAGTAAAAAAAAAATTCAAAAATGCAATAATTGTCAATAATTTCTCCTAATTATGATTCTTCAAAAATAACAGACTGAGAATTGCCAGGAAATAACACTGTCCTGGTATCAGGTTTCCCCAAAAGTTAGTTTTGAACCAGTTTCTTAAAAGAGAATTTTTAAAATCTTTTAACATAATTATTTAATTTGGACATTATTAGAGAAAGACTACCACTACATCCTTGAGAAAGAATAACTATATTTGTCAAAAACAAATACATGCTTGAAGCATATCTCTTGTAGCTCAGAAAGAAATCTGTTCAGTTTTGAAGCTTCTATTATTTAGAATTAAGTTCTCTAGAATTCTTTGCTGAGGTACCAGGAAGGCAACTATTCAATATCTGTCATTACTGTGGTATCCTGAGACATGATGGAGAGCTGCTGCAAATTAAACCAGACCAAATAACTCCTATCAGCTAAGCCTATCAGGTTAGCTACTCTTTCCCAATCCCTACCTCCTACTATTTCTCTTAATGAATTCACATTTCATTAAAAAAAGACAACACCAAACAAAGAGAAACAAACAAACAAAAAAACACTATGCAAAGAAGAATTTAGAAATATTTCACATACATGTTTTCTCTCCAACACTTCCAATACTAGGCAAACATTTCACAAAGAGGCACAAGGAACTAGTTGAAGAAAATAAATAGAATCTGAATAATTTCAGCTCTGCAGGGATTTCACACAAAGGTTTGCAACATCACTGTGGTCACATCTACAGTGCTGGAGTTCCTCATATCTCTTGTAAATTCCTCCATTAACAGTGTGGCTCTTTAACACACTGAGTACAGTATGCATGTACACTGAGGCCTCACTTCAGCAAAACTCCTCACTGGGCCTTCAAACATGTTACAGCAAATTCATTTATTTTTAAATACAGCATCTGAGTTCACAAAGCAACAGGGGTGGGTTGTGTTCAAATCTTTTATAGTACAAACTGTGCTGCTGCTTGGAAAAAGAAAACCATACAAAAACACCTAGCCAATGAGCCACACTATATTAAGATCCATTTGAAGAACAATAATTAGCAAGACACCAGCAGGATGTTCCAGATTTTTACTTCATCTATGGTCAGTCACTAATTAAATATTGATCAATTTTAAAGAAACTCAATCATATTTGTGCATCTGAACTTGTTCTGTGCTTTCAGAAGAGATAAAGCAGTTGAATTTTCAACCTCTTTACCACAGTCCTCAAATTGACATTTGTATAAGAAAAAGCCTAAAACAAACACAAACAAACCAAAAATCACAACACCAAAACCCACAACTTTGTTACAGTTTTGAAATCTAGAAACAAACTGTTTCTGTATTTGAGAATCTTTTTAGGTAAACAATTTGATACAAATTGGCTTCAGAAGATGTTTGTTAACCCATCAAACTATATGTGGTTTAGCAAGTATTGCACATGATTAAGTTAGACTATTCACTTCAACAAAAGTCAATATAAAATATCTACTGTGGCCTACAGGGTCTTACTGTAAGTAATGAACAAAATATGTTGGCCCAATTTCACCCCAGTTACAACTGAAATCAATTTAAGAAATCATTGCAATGAAGCAAAAACCAACCCCCTTCACAATGCTGAAAGAGTACATATGAAACTTCAAAATCTCTTTGTGTGTATCTTGACTTGCACTCAATATAAACCCCTCTTCTGCCTAACCTTCCATTGTGCAGCATCATGTCTGTGATGATATACTTTTAAATTCAATGCCTCCATGAATGCTCACTCCTTGTATTTTGATTTTCCTTTTAGTTATCAAGGAACATGATTATCTCAGAGGGAGCTATAATGAAATGTTATGCAAACTTTGTGAGGTGGATGGAGGATATGAATATCTTCATTATGCAATACTGGCCATAAGCTATCATATGTCAGTGACTACCCCATTCAAAATTATGCATCTCAAAGTAATTGGTTTGTCTTTTGGAGTGGAAGAGTGGAGTGTAGGAAATAACTTCTTTAGCAAGAGAATACATAAAACTCTCAAAGATTTATCTGAAAACAAAAAATAACAACCTTGCTCTAAAACTGTATAAGCAAAATAAAATTTATAAATAAATAGACATTTTATTTATATTCATCCAATAGCCTGTCAGTTACAACACTCATGAGTAATGCAGTTGCTTTAAACCATAAAACAAAGTATTTTCACATATCTACTATTAGCATATCAGTGCACTGCAGGGTAGTCACAATAAATGTAAATTAAATATATACTTTTTGGCAAGCAAGGGATATCAATGCTCCAATTTTTTTCTCTTTGCATTGTTCAAATAGGCTGTGGGAGTAAAACTAACTGAATCAAATGAGAGGGAAACCCCAAGAAGAATATGCATTACAGATTACAGAGGAAGCTTTTCACACAAATGCTGCAGGGATATCGAAGACTATTATTGTGACAAAATACTAACAATAAAAATAATAATAATCCCCAACAACAACAAAAAATCCAGCAACAGATCACACACAAAATAAAGGTTTTGCACTTTCAATCTTCAAACAAGTTAATGTCTATTTTCTACTTGCTAACATTGTGATAAGATTTAATATACAGGTATCTGACCATTCAGCTGCCAGATATTAAACTGCTGACAGATTAATTACTGCACAACTAATAATTATTCATTTGATCACAGATATCAACATGTAGCAAAATTTGTTACAAAAGTCACAGCTCACATTTCTGTGCTTTCGATGTTCTAGCTGTACTGAGATAAGGCACTGACCTTTATTCTTGACTGACAATGGGAGAATACTCCACTTACAAGCTTACTACTGTGAAGCCTTGTTGTCAGTGTGAAGAATCACAAAATTGTGCTAAAAAGCAGACAGAATTCAATATCTTCCTCAACATCTGAAATGTGATCTTTCCAACAGATCATCAGTTCTTGTCATTTCCCCAAAAGTATAAATGACTCATGTTTAAGATTTCACTAAGAGGGATAAAATACTCTGCAGGTTAGGGGGAAAGGAGTGTTACAGTCCATGAACTAGTTGGTAAAGGACCTTCTTTCAGGTTTCATCTTGAAAGGACTCTACTATGCCATCTAGGATTTTCATGTAATAAAGGCAATTTATCCTTCTAATCAGACCATTTCTATTCAAAGAGACTTCAGGTGGCTGTACCATAAGAAATATTTTCCTGTGCCTCTTGAAATCAATGTGACTGTGATTGCAAATTACTCACTAATGTAAAGAATAGCAGACTTTTGCATTATGCAAGCCCATCCAGATTCTTTTGCATCCCTGTAAATGCAGCTACTTTCCTGTCTTGATTGTACTGTACACTAACAATGGGTTTCACCTAATAAGCTATTCAGGAAACTTACACAGCATGCAGGTCATCTCAACCCATTTCCTTGCTGTTACAAGTAACATGAAAAATGCTTTCAAACATCATCTGAGACAGGAACACTTTGAAACACCTTAAATTCTCATAAAATATTCACTAGAGCTATCAACAGTATCAGTCCTATTGTGGCCTCACAGTTAAGTCATGTACTACTGCTGCAGCAAGTAAAGTCTACTCTACTCCTCATAGGTAGAGTATGTTCAAAGTCCTATGCATGGAGAAGAAAAAGATGGGGGAGGGGAATTTTTTTTTTTTTTAATTTAAAAAAAACACAAACAACAAAACTAACAAAAAAACCAACCACCAGCGATTTTCTTTTAGCTATTCTAGAACTACATTATAATCACCGTGAGATAAATGTTCTAACCTCCATCTGCACCATCCCAATCTTTCTCCTCCCACATCAGTGCTGAATTTGCTGGAGTAGAAGAAGGAATCAGCCAGGAAGGTTAAAAAATATTTCCAGTTAGGAGACTCGCATGTAGTTTGAAACAGTACTGACATCCCATTCATCTCAGACCTGACCACTATGGGACCTCTAAATAGCTCCTTTCTCTATCATTTGGGAAATACCATGCCCAAGTACTGGAGAAACATTTTTCTTCTGGAGTCCCAGATGGCAGGCAGCCTAACAGAGCACCTAGAGAGAGGCCTTAAAAAAAAATTAAAAAAAAAAAAATTAAACAAAAAATGTGGGGGGGATAAAGAAGCTGGCTTACGTGCTCCAGTTTGTCTTTCCTCCTCAGCCAGACACTGGCACTGTAGTCCTGCTGCTTGACAGTGCTGTAGAAGTTCGCACCTACTCTGGTGAGGCTTGGGGAAGGCTCCCTGGGTCTGCTCTTCAGCCTCATCTGCTCGAAGCCCTCATGGGGGGATGAGGAGAGCCAGTCATGCCTGACTTCCATCTTGACATGACAAGGCAAAGTCCAAGGGGAAAAAAAATCAAAAGAAATCAAGAAATTAAGAGGCACTAAACGAAGATGGTCCAAATGGGAACAGGATGGGGGAAGAAAAAAGAAAGGAAATTAAAAAAACCCTTAAAACCAGAAAATGGTAAGAGAAGGGGGAGACATGCAGAAATAAGGTAGGAGTGGAGGTAGAAAGAAAGGCTGCAGGTACGAGAAAGCAGCAGGCTGGGAGAGATGAAGGGGCACTCGGGAAAGAAGACGCTCCAAGATGCCGCTGCTTGTTGCCCCGGCCGCCAGCAAGCTGCAGTCCAGGACCGACGCAGCGGGAAGCGGCTGCCTGCGGCTCTGCCCGGGACGGAGGCGAGGGGCGGCGCGGCCCGGGCAGCCGAGGCCGGGCGGGGCTGCCGCCTCCAGCCCGCCTGCAGGTTGGCGCAGTGGAGGGGCCGCCGCCCGCCCGGGGATGAGCGCGGCTCCTCCCCCGCCTCCCCTCCCCGCAGCCACCTTCGGGGAAGCAGCCAGCTGCGGGGGAGAGCCCTCCCCTTTCGACAGGAGCCGCCGACGATGCCCTCCTGGGGCCGCCCGTGCCCCTGGGGAAGTTGTCTCGTCTGCTCTCCCCCCGTCCCGGCGGCACCGACCCGCCCGCAGCGCGCCGAGGGCTGGGCGGCCGCTTGCCACTCCCTCTCCTGGAAGCCTTTGTCCGATCTCCCCACGGCGGAGGCTCCCGGGGCCGTCGCCCGCTGGCCTGCCCAGCCCATCCCAGGGCAGGCTGTGCTCCTCACCCCGCCCGGCAGGGGATGCGGGGCTGCGGCCGCCGCGCCGGCCTCTCCCGCGGCACCTCGCCGTCACCGCGTCCCCTCCCTCCCTGGGCAGGGGCTCCAGGGGCTCTCGGGCGTAACCAGACCGAGCCGCCGGCCCTTTCGCCGGGACAGCCAGGAGCGCACCTCGCCGGACCAGGATGCGAAAGCCCCGGCTCGGGTCCGGTCCAGGTCCCAGTGCCACCTGGAAGCCCCCGCCGCCGCAGCGGTTCCGCCAGCACCAGACCTCAGAAACCAAATCGCTCCTGTGGTCCCGATGGACAGGGTCGCTGGGATGCCCACATTCGTAGATCCCTGGCATCTAGGATTTCTCTCATAAAATAAAAAGATCTTCTAGGGTGGTTTGTACAGTCCACTGCCATCTCTTTTAGAAGTTGATGTGTGTTGCTATATAGCTCAAACATTTCAACAGAAAAAAAGGACTTTCCTTTTTCACACTATGAAAAGCCACCTCGCTAATTGCCCACACACTCTGTAAAGCTATATTAGGCATAGACAAGAAAACTTTCTCACACAGTGCCTCAAGAAATATTTACTGGAGCTCAGAACAACATTTCATTTTCCTGGTCAATATTTGCCATCAAGCATTTGCAATTTGTATTTCAGCTTTTTGGAAATAGGTGCCTCAATGAGTATACGATTGATATATCAGCATCTGCAGATTTTTTTTCCCCTACCACAAAACTACAGTGATGTAGCTATTCTGATAAAGGGATGCTGAAGTAGAGGTTGAACTAGACTTGAATCCAGTTAACTGAAAATAGCCTTTGAATGGTAAAGAAGTTCATCCAGACAAATTTCTGAGAAAATTATAGAACAGCCCTCAGCTAATCACTTGATCTACAGTGAACTCCACTTCCATCTGATCAAAAGGGAAATTTAAAATATCCCTATGATTTGACTTAAGGCGTATTACTGCAAAATATCAGCCAGAAACCAGACAGATAATTTTTTCCTGTCAAAATAGTAAAAATAAAGGCAAAACCCACATTGTAAAACATAATTAAAGATTATTAGTAATAGATAATACTAATATCTTTGTGAAATACTGGAAAAATAAACTGAACACTAGCAGAGGTTTGGTAGGAACATAAATTACAGCGTCTTCTTCTAAAACCTGAAAGACAATTTCAAAATCCTAATCTAAATATTACAACAAAAAAAATAAAAAGAGTGTAACAAAATACTAACAACCAGAACCATCAATATTATATGCAATATTATATACTTTTAACTCACCAGTATAAAGGATTTGCAGTTTTCTTTCTAATAACTTTCTAGTCTCTTCAGTTAGGAAGTTTAGGTATTTCCAGGATTGTGAATACAACCTCAAAACACCTGAATCAAGAATGAGACCTATGTGGTCCTGCTGTATGCAGGACACACTAGAAGGCACTGAGATTTAATGTATGGCACATCCCAGCTGAATCAGTTTTAAGCTCACACAGAATAACTTGATTAGAACTGAACTTTAGCTGCAGATGCCCATTTAGGAAATTTAGGAATTCTACATGCTCAGAGATGCACCTGCTCCCAAGGGACTGGAATAAATTCAAGCATTCAGTCAGAAGAAAGGAAAGGAAAACAAAAGAGCCTCTGTGTTTCTTCAAATATATAATTTCTCAACAGGTGTATATATGTATATGTACATATATATATGTATATATGTATGTACTTATAGTGTTCTTAGAAAAACTGCATATGGTGTAAATCAGGAGAGCCTGCTTTATGCTGGTTTTGCATAAGAATTTTCATATTGTTTCTATAGCAGTATATGAAGCACTTCAACCTTTTCTTTATCCTTCTAATCTTTCTTTTGTTGCTTGCAAATATTCATAAAGAAAAGTTGTTAGTGTCACTCTGCAGTTGCCACCTGCTTTGCTTCCCATCCCTTAATACTCTAACAGAATCAATATGCCACTGTACTTCAGTACAAGACATTGTCTCATTCCCCCATATGTACTGTGTTAAGATTTTTTTCTTTAATGTATATTAGCTATTTTGTAGGGTTCATTTATCTTACCTTCCCTAGCTACACTACCAGCAGACCTTCTCAACTGCCAGAGGAACTTCTTTCTGCCTATCCAGGACAGACAGAAAATGGAGTCCTAAAGTTGCTTTTAGTCTCCATGCTATAAAGAGAGTTTGCTCCCCTTTCCAAACACCCTCTTTGACATGTAGGTGTGCTGCATTCCACTACTACTACTGCCAACATTATTATTATCCCAGTCCTACTCTCACTGTGAGTGAGAGAGAAAAGGCAAAAAAGAAGCCTGGATAAAGTCTGTTAAAATTATGTGAACGAGCTATGCTTGCAAAGCCTTTGTTGCTTGCTGACTCCCAAGCAGAAAAGATTTCTAGTGAGAAAAGGTAATCTAATGACGATAATTTTTTTGTGTTTTCATAAAAATTTTAACTCGGGCAAATACACTAAGAATACAATGTCAGTCCCTAGAGAATACATGGTTATTAATCTAATTTGAAGAGTAAAGAGCTGTTTGCCAGATTTTGTGTTCCAGTTTATTTCCAGGTTAGATCTATGCAAAAAACCCCTCAGTTTTGTTCAAACAACCACAAGCATAACAACCAATTTAATTCAAAGATAATTCAACTCATTAGAATTCAATCAGTTCTGTAGTAGATCAGCAATTCCAACTGCTAAACTACTAAATAAACTACTGTCTTTCTCTTCCACGCAATTTTCAGAATTACCCAAACACCTGCTCCTGTCAAGGCCCTTTGCTTCCATACCCAGATGACTACAGCAGCAAGGATAACTGAAATTACAAACATCACACTTACATAATTAGCAATAGATGCAAGTCATGCATATCAAAATATAATTTTACCTTACCATGGTTCAGGCTACAATTTTCTTCAATCCACTGCCCTTCTTATCAAGAATCAGAGGAACTCCTTTAAAGCATTCTACAAAAATTTCCATTTTCTCTATCAACAGGATCAGTGCTGTAGGGGGCAGAGTTAACTCAGGCCAATGCAAAGAAAATCAGGATATAAGTGGAAACATGTAGGTAGGGCTACAACAGATTTACTTTTTTAAAAAGACAGCTTCTATTTCTTCCAAAAATCTTATCCAGATAAGTTTTAAAGGACCTCCTCCCCGTGCTACAGCTTTCTGAACATATTTTTTAAATGAAAGGGTTCTAGCAATTCAACATATCCACAAGAATCTTAGACCTTTTATCACCAAATGTCATATACCTAAAACTATAAAAACTCTAGCAAAACTTTATTTTGGCTATATACCAATACTTGCATGCCTGCACCTGTAATAAATTCAAAGCCTCCTTACAAAGTACTGATTTCTAATGCAGAGCTGGGCTGCACACAAGCACTGGCCCACTTTTGAGAATGTACCACACCTGACCAAAACAGCAGGCAGCAATTGCCTTGCAGGCTTCAGCTGCTGTCCAGTCAGAGGGCTATGACTGACACCAGCTCCAGCAGCAGTGCTGGGCCTGGCAGCCAGGTGGAAAGGGAACTGTCACCTGCTTACCCAGCTCAGCTGAACTTCTTTTCTCCTCTAGGAATTGATAAAAACACTCACATGGGGAGATCTTTTTAAGCTCCCTTTTTAACACTAGCCTGTTCCAGATAAAATTAACCATCTTTCAAACAAATTTTAGTATTACCAAAACACCAGCTCCTTCCTAGCCCTCCCCCCCAAATTCTATCAGCCTACAAAGAAAAAAAAAACATTGCAGCAGGCTGTTTCCTCTATGCTGATATGCTGGCCATGTCTCCAAGCCTATGTGCTCCTACCTCCTTGAAGCGCCTATCATTGAAATATGGGCTTGCTATAAGGAAGGACCAGAGAGGAAAACAAAAAGAATGAAAGAGGAGATTTCCACACACCCCCACCCCCCCTTAGTGCAGTGTGCTACAGTGCCAAGTACAAGGTCAGAATAGTAAAACTCACTAGATGTGCAGTAGGAAAAAAGTAAGAAAAAAGCTAGACTGCTGCATGGAGATTTATAAATAATTTCTGCATTGTTGCTTTGTCAAATCCCATGCAGCACAAAATGAAATCTTTATACATTTATCTTCAGTTTTTGGACAAGAATAAAAGTATGAAATGGGAGGGTCAAACCTCAAGTTAAAGGGAAGTTTTGGAGTCGGAGGTGCTTCAGATTTCAGGTTATGAACATATTAGACAACTACCTCAAAAATAACATGGAAACATCATCTAATACTGATAATGTTCCCACTTTAGCCCTCCCTTTCTGAATTCAACAATTAATCAAACTCTTCTGTGACTCTTGCCTGAAATAACCTCAAACTCTTTCTTTTTTGTGTGATCTTTTATTCAAAATAAATAAAACCCAGCAACAAACAAACAAACCACAAACACAAACAAACACATAACAAACATTAACACATGGAACAACCACCTGTTAGTCTTGAGACACCTCTTGTCTCTCAGATTTAGTTG